GGAGGGGAGGGGAGGGGACCGAGAAGGGGCGGGACGAGGAGGAAGTGACTGACGAGAAGGAGGCAGCGGCGCGCAGAACACGGTAGAGGCAGAGCGACGAGAGAGGGACGGACTGGCGTGCGTATCACGATGAATCTGCGAATACGTACTTCAGAGATCGTAGAAATCAGGCACATTGTAAGGGGGTTTCGCGGAATGAGAACAGCAAAACAATCAACCACGAAGTATAACTACAAACAATATCGCTGGTCTGTGCTATATTTAAATCAGCCGTCTTTTGCTCCTTAGATTATGCATTTACACAAGTTCTCTACCACAAACACCAAGGCAAATTCAGAAATGTGTGACATGAGAAGAAATAAGCTTGTGAAGATGTTCTAGAAATTATTAAATACGAGTTCAATAACTAATGTTATATTAGATATCAAGTTCTTAAAATCGCTGCACGTAGTCGTTTTTCCTTTCAAGTCGAAGGGGTATTGCTATACAATAATTTTATATTTACAAGATAAGAGAAATGACAGATACATTTCTTTTTTAACAAGTAGTGAGAGCGAGTAGGGATGAATCAGAGGATATCAGATTTTCTGCAATTTCTTACAAGAGTACGGCTGGTACTTAGGATAGCAGAAGATAACCGCGTTTGTCACATAGTGAACCAACATACTATTGTACTACAATGCACAACAATAAGCCATTTCCATCGCTATCTTTCGGAATTATTAACAAATTTTATCTCTACACTAGAGGAAGATGACGTGAGTGATGAGTGCCAATAGCTACAAACACGGAAAAAGGGTTTGAATTTCCCGAACTTCAGTCATTATCGTCAGAGTGAATCATCCATCCATCCCACTCGCATAAAAAATAAATACCCATTCCACATATTTTGTAAATTGTTCTCAGATCTGGAATAGTTCTTATGAGGTGCCCTTAGGGTTTCCTCAACCTCTGTAATAGTATTAAGATAGGATAAGTTTAGGATAAGTTAAATTATAAGTCATCAATACATATGTAGAGTTAATAAAAACTGAACTATGTACTAAACAATCAAATAAATAAATAAAAAAAATAAAAGAGTGAATCAGAAGAAGTGATGGTGGAGGCTTCTCATGAGACAAAACAATGAAACACTACTTCTGCAATTTCTACTGAAAGTGTTAAACACAGAGTTGAATTTTGCAGTTTTCTTCATATTTTTTGCATTTTTTGCTACAGCTTATCATTTCTGAATTGCAAAGTGTTAGTTGCTTTTTTGTTATCCTCCAGTAAATCGACAGAGACCGCAACAGACTGTCTCATGACCTCCTTTCCTCGCTCGCCTTTACGACACATTGCCGCCCCCCCCTCCACACCCAAAGAAACAATCGCTTGTTATGACGTTTTCCCCGCGCGCGTGGCCGCGTCCCTGCGCCGCCACCCCACCCCCCCCGACACTTTACCACGACTCCCTCGTAAGGTTGGGGAAAGCGCGCAATGTTCGGCCGCGATCACCCAGCCTACTTTACACGACGCGACGGCTGTGTGCGTGTATGGGGGGGGGGTGATAAGTCGCCCGCGCCAACGCTGGAACGGAAAGCGAAACGAACCGATGGGTGACGACTTCGCTTCGAAGGAGGTCTCATTTAAGGCAAATAAAATGAGATAATGAGAAACAAAATAAAAACACAAAAACCAAATTAAAATGAACTACGATGGTATTATTTTATCTCGAATAAGTCCAAGTCCATATCTCGAAATGGTTGATAACTGGAATTCCTTGAAAACGTCAATTTCAATTTATTCCACTTCATATCCCCTCCAGATATAAAATTGGTAACACCAAAACTCGGAAATATTCCGTTACTCGATTTTTCTTTTTCTTTTGGATACCATGATAAAAATCTCCAACTGTATTTTTTAAAAAAACGTCGAGCATTTTTGAAGTAATACTTATTTAATTTTGTTGCAATGAGTGACACAATATACAATTACCAATACACAAGTTTGAAACTATTTTTTTTTTTCCACGAAGAAATTATTTTTTAAAAGATACATCAGTTGGAGCATTATAAAGTAAGACAACGAATTCCTGCAAGCAGTCTACAGAAAATAACCTGAAGTAAATGAAACGAAGGGGTATAAAAGTTCACAACTCGGCTGATGCTAGTGCAATGAGCACTTGCCACTAATCACCGATCGTTAGGCCAATGAGGTCACAGCAATGCAGGATATCAGCTGGTTACATCACGCTTCCTTCGCCTCTCGAAGAGAAAACACTTTAACTCGGTAGGTCCCTGATAATGAAATAAATCAGCTTCTAAAGGGGATATGTTTAAGATGACGGGCTTGATTTTATGATTCACCGGATGCTAAATTTGATAGCTGCATTCATCGCTTCCGCAATTTCTCTAAACGATACCTATTATCGGATAAGAGAAGATAAGCGCGAACTTGTCTCAAGAAGTGAATCAACAACTGACGTTTTCGATACTCAAATAAAATTAATTAGTATCGCAATCGTGGGATTTCCCTAAATCAGGCAACGAGATAGAGGATGCAAACCAGCAATTGACTCATTTAAGGAATGTTTTCAAAAATGCCTTCAAATGAGACGTTCTCGACTCTGCGCAATTTCGAATTTTCTCATTTTCTCCCACAATATAAGTAAAAATAAATTTAAATTATCAGCGCTTCAAAATTATGAAGAGTAGAATAGTGTTGTCAGAGGAAAAATATTATCATTTGGCTAAAAATATTTAAGAGACAGAAAACGTAGCAAAAATTCGCGAGAATTTCACTTTTCTATTCCGAAAAGTATCTTCGTTGTTTCAAAATAGTGATTTATGTGCATGGGCTGTAATGTTTTGAATGGGCTGTAATGTTTTGCATGGGTTGTAAAGTTTTTTTAATGAGTTTGGCACATGACTCAAGTCTGAAAGCATTCACACATCAACTGAAGTGCATAAAACGTACACATACCGCTAGAAGTAGCCATTTCTCTAGAGTAATAACACGAATACTCTGTGTGTGTGTGTGTGTAACTGTGTGTGTGTGTGTTCAAAACTGTTTTACGTGTTTTCATTTTGTACACATTGGTAGTCCCACTAATTGACTGGCAGGAATGCACCGCGTTTAACTCATCAGCGCATTTTGACCGGCGTAGTCCGACAACCGTCACCCGTCCGGACTACGCCCTGCCGTCGAGTACGGGTGAAAAAGCTGGTTCGAGGCGCTCACCCGTGCTGGAGGTGGTGTAGGCGGAGGAGCGGTGGCCGGGCGCGAGCAGCGGGGGCGGCTGCGGCGCGTGGCCGTGCGCGTGGGCGTGGGCGTGGGCGTGCCCGTGCGCGTGGTGGGCGGCGAGCGCGGCCGCGTGCTGGCTGAGCAGGCCGTGCAGCAGCGCACGGTGCGGCTCCGCGCCGCCGCCCACGCCCTCCGTGCCGGGCTCCCGCTTCACCGTCACCATGTGCACGCCCGCGCCGCCCGCCACCGCCGCCCCGGGCCCCGCCACCACCGACGACGCCGTCGACGACGACGACGAGGGCGGCGGCGGGGGCGGCGACGGCGACGCGGACGACGACGCCGCGCTGCCCAAGTCCATCAGCGGATGGTGGTGGTGATGGTGGTGATGGTGGTGGTGATGGTGGTGAGGGCCCGTCGGCAGCTCCGTGTCCACTGCAAAACACAAGAGACGCGCCCTGGTTAGTCCACGTGTCAGGTGCACGAAACGACGAGGCAGTTTTATTCTCAAACACACACATCATATGCTCTTAAGATGATTAATGCAATAAGGCTAAATGAAGACAACAGGAAATAATGGGCAAAATAAAGAAGCAGGGAAATTTATTTGGAGAATGGTAATGTGTAACAGTGGCGCATCCACAGGCCTTCAGCCCACCTCCTAGAATTGACAAAAATTCAAAAGCTATTGCGAATTATCTATACAAACAAATGTCTTTCAATATATCAATTTTAAAAAATATGAATATTAACCTTAGGTTTACAAAAAAATATATTCAGCAGAAACGAAAAATTATTTTTAAGAAAAAGTCAGATCATCATTATACCAAAAGCCCGTATCAGAATTCCTGGATGCGCCTCTGAGGATAATGACATCAAATGGGATTGTGGTCACTGAAATACAGGTTGAACGAGAATTGACGTAATTAGGGCATAATATGTATGTATGCTAAAGCTCAATACTTTCATACCTACGTCTGTGCAGGTAAGCTTATAGATAAGAAATCGAATATGACCAGGAATATTCAATTTTGCAGTAATCCATGACATGCGAACTAAAACAATGAACGAGAATAATCATACATAAATGTATCGTTCCTGCAATAAGAGCAGTGACGAAATTCAATGTATGCATAGTTCGCCTCACTTCATCTCTACGGCATTTCTCCCCCACCAGAAATATATACGCTCTACAGTTTTGAATCCCAGAGCACATATTCTTCTAATTTATTTATTAATGTCTCCATGAGTTTTTGCGGCTATTAGGCAGAAAGCAGCGGACAAATCTTGGGAACATTCCTTCTTACGCTGTCACAATCATAAAACCCTCACGTGTTCCAATGGTTCGTGTCGACAGCAAACTTCAGACTAATTAAAAGGTTTTACAGCTCCACGTGCCATCAGAACGTGCAGGAAACCAAAATATTGGATTATCGTTGCATTGCCAGAATGATTAGTCCAAACCTTAAGAAACGCATGAGAATTTCCTACATAAATATCTATTAAAACTAATATTTAAAAGTATTCTAGATAAAACTTCCATTGATCATTTAATGATGGGTGTGCCACACTTTTGAACTGCACGTAGACAAGAGAGGAAACGTCCACCTTTTCGATCTCTTCTTTTAAGCAGGCGACCACAGAAGTGGTTTACCGATGCCATTCACTGAATGAAGGCAGTAGTTGCGATCATTAGGGGTTTACCGAGAACGAGAGGTTTCTGATAATGAATAACACGACGATTGAGAAAATGCGTGGTACGACACGCGAACCACATTATGAAAACACTCCGACTGAGATATGACAATGTTAATATTTTTATTCCTAAAACACCAAGCGGAAAACGTCGCAACGCTTCTGCAGAACGCCTCTGGCGCAGGGGAGCAGTTCGCAACGCAAAGCTTTGGCGTGGTCGCCGCCGCGGGCGAGGCCAACCCAGTTGTCGGACGTAGACCCGAGCGGGGCCTGACCTTGAGCGCTGCCCCCCCCNNNNCCGCCAGCCGCGCAAACCGACCCCTCGGGTGCTCGGCGCTCTGCTTCCTGGCGTGGCGATTGTCGAGGCCGCGATAAGAGTCGAGCGCCCGCAGTCGACCCTCCCCCTCAAGCCGGCGCTCCCTTTCACCTGCAGAACGGCAGCGGCGATGGCCGCTCTTCCGGAGAGTGGTCGTTGCTGCTCAATGGAGCGAGAGGAACAGAGAGAGGTACACGAAGCTGCTCGTACACGTTCATGCGTGCCTTGCGCCAGTTGTCAACCCGATCCCTCGCATAGTTCGTTGGTACAGGACGAAACAAACCAGGCCACACCCAACCATATTGTTTGGAAATGGGGATTTCCATTCATTCGAAAATGAATGAAAGACACTGATTTCGTAATCCGAAGAAAATTCTATGAATATAGAAATGAATACTTCAGTAACCAGACAAATTGATATTTAATTTCATTACTGTGCCTCGTTAATTGTCTTTGACCGAGTGCATTTTCAAGGAGGATAATAAGTAGTTGCACAAACTATTATTTTACGAAAATCCTTCTAAGATTTCGGTCTTGACGCTTTCGCCCCCCCCTCCTTCCGATTAATTCTTCTCCTGAAACATTTTATTTTTGCCGTCTCGTTTTTTTCTTCTTTTTTTTAACCTTTTGTTTTCACTTTTACTTCCCCGTTCTTTCTCAATATTTTTTTCCCTTCTTCGTCTTCCTTTGTCTTCTACCGTAACTTGTCGACCCGTCACCACAGGCCGGGGCGAAGGTTTTCCAGCTGTCCTAAACAACACACGCACACACAGACGTGGCGCGGCGCGGCGCGGCGTCGGCGCGTCGAATCTGCGCGGGGCGCCCTTGACGCCGCCCAGGAAGTGCGCGCAGGCGCCCCAGGCGGGCGGGCGGCGGGCGGCGGGGTCTTTGCGAGAGACGAGGCCGCCGCCGCCGCCGCCACGTGCGAGCCCGTCTAGAGGCGCTATCCCCGCGGCCTTGCCACGCACTCTGCCCCGCTCCCGCTGGCTGGGCGGGGACGGGCGGCGGCAGACGACACCCTCTGGCACTCGGGCCCTAGCCGTGGCATCTGACATTTACTGTCTGCTGGATTCTGTGTGAGCAATTCGCACACGTCGTCAAGAGTTTTATTGTTATTGCTTCGTTAACAATTGCGCACTGCATACTACCAACTGTTTACTACACACAGTATTAAGTAAGCCCATATTTTTAATACTACAATAAAATTCACATTCATTCTCATTTAGAACAATCAGATGTCATTCGTACACAACATATTGTCGTTCGACAAGAGTAATCACCGATAGTTTACAGCGACATTAACTTAAGAAATTATGGATACTTCCGCGTTACGGCATGACTTGCATAGCAAAGGGTAACCCTACATATTTCATGCATAGACGTTTTCATTCCAAGCTCCCCTAAGCCTATAACCCAAACGCAGGTACCCAGATCTAAATTTTTCTAACATTTTTCCCTGCTCGAAAACGCAAGATAAATAAACCCCGTCCTTCGGCAGGGCCTTATCTGCCCCCTTCCGTGCCGCCCCCGCGCGTGCTGCCTTGCAAAACGCGCCTTGGCCATGCCGCCACCGCGCAACGCCTGCGGAAGGACCGGCCCGCCGCGTTGCCCAATGTTGGATTTCTCGTGTGGGCAGCGCCGCCACGAGCCAGCCGGCCAGTCAGTGCGCGCGAGCGTTACGTAATATCCGGAAAACGGCCTGCCAGTGCGCGCGTACCATGCGGCGCGCGGCGTGGAGCGGGGCGGGGAGCGAAGCGCGCGGAATACCGCGACAGGCGCGCGTGGGCGGAGAGGAGGAGAAGGAGGAGGAGGGTGGGGGGACGACCTCGCTCGCCGTACACGTGCCGCTAATTCGGGCACCGGGAGGCCCCGCGGCGGGCAGTAGTAGAGTTGATGGCTGCGCGCCTGTGGCAACGGTCGTCACTAGGGATGCCCCAAAAAATAGATTTTTTTTTTTAAATCATCGATATTTTCGAGCAGAAGCATCGATATTACATAATTGAAATTTTCTTCAAATGGATACATTTACATTTACAATCGATAATACATCGAACACCTTTTATTGATGTATCGATGTTTTGCTCAAATTCGCCATCACTAGACGTGATGGAGGCAGTAGTGTACGTGACGGTGGCTGAGTCGAGAGGGGGGGGGCGACGACGACAGCGCCTCATCCATCCGTCCTTCTGGCCCTCCGTTCCCCCGCCCCCCAGCTCCCCCTCCACCAGTAGCAACTGCTGGCAGAGAGCGCGTAGGGGGGCACGAGAGCAACGAGGAAATAACAGCCACGCTGCGAAAACAGCCGCTGGCAGAGGCAAAATAAATACACGGATTGCCATCGGGACAATGGGTGGGTTGCGTGCCGCCCCGCCCTTCCCTCAACAGCCGGCCAACCGGAGGAGCTTCCGCGAACCGCCAGAGAAGAAGAGGTACAGCTACGATAAAATGTATATGTATTTTAAATAAAATATACAGTATGTAATAGAGCATGAATTGTCTAATTCTTGCTGCGAGTATTGTTTATGGTTAAATTTGGAATGTAGCACAAACTGACTAATAATTCAGTGAGTAAAAATACTTAGCCAGGACTGATAAAAAACGCAATAGATTTGCGAGACTCGTATTCAAAATGATCTCCTTAAATGTGCACACTTCAGATACATTGAGAAGAGTCGATTTTCCTGGTTTTAAAATTCCTTCTCTGGCAGGGCCCACACACGCCATGTGCCTGTTGGCAGCGTTATTGATGGTGTGTGCGAAATGTTACACCTTTCTCGTTGCATCATGGTGGAAGCCATATCAGAAGAAGACTGCGAGCTCAGAGAGCGCCCCGGGGTTCCGCCTACAACGAATGCGCAAGTAGCGTCAGTCCTGTTTGCATTTCGCCGCCGAGGTTACTTCATGAGGAAACAAGAACAGCAACGTCATCGGCGAGTAATCGACGTGTTTTCACTTTGACAGATCCACGTGCGTCTCCGTCATCTCTTGGCTATTTGTGACGTTGTTTGTAGGCATGCATACACAAGCTCTTTGATGGACGAAGTAACAAGAAGTCAACTGCCACCCACCACCACTTGTAGCATACCTCTACAAACCATTTTCCATTTCGTCTTCACTGTTGTTTCAGGTGGGCAATATTCGTTCATCAGTGTGACCGGAGCTGTTGGGCACGGCCGGGCGCGAAATGCGTAACAGCAAAGCCTTTTTCGGCATTATGAACGGCGGTACTGTTCGAGGAAGCAAAGGAAATTTCAGTGCGCGACGTCTGTTTGTTTATCTGCCACGAACATGAATGACAAGAAACCTTGCGATAAGAGAAGGAGGAAGACTCGCCCCTTTCAGAGTGATAAGAATCCCCCCCCCCTTCGCTCTTACGATTGAATTCCGAACCACTTCCTTTTCCTGTTCGTCATCAAGTTGCGTG